TTTTTTTTACAAAATTGGAATTATACCATAATTCTAAACATTATTTGAGGACTGTGTGATTTTCCCTCTATGTTTGTACCATAATTTATTTAACCTTCAATTGTGTGACACTTAGATTGTGTTTCTAGTTTTTCATTATGAAGGCTGCAATAACCATTGTCATAGGTGTATTTTTGGACATAGTCGTGATTATTTTTCCATAAGTATTGTTGGGAGACCATATTGCCAGATCGCTCTCTGGATACATTTATGGGCTTTTACAGTTAATTTCAGAAACAAAGGGCTAGTCCTAGAGTTTTAAATTTTACATTTTTAAAAAAATATCATAAGGCCTAAACACTTACTCTTGGGAGAGCAGTTCTAGACCTTCTCTTAGAATCTTTCTTACTCTTTAAAATTTTTTATTATTAAATCAGAATGCATATTTGTTCATATTCATGTGATAAAGGAATATATTTTTATTAGAAATTTAAATAGTACTGATAAATGGAGAATTACCTTAATCAACCCTCCCCTCAGTCCTACTTCCCTTCTCAAAGATAATCACTATTATAAGAGATAGGTATGCTTTTAATCCTTATCTCTGTGTGTGTGTGTGTGTGTTTGTGTGTGTGTGTGTAATATATAATTATACTCTTTAGATCTTACCATGTTATTGTATAAAATTATTGCATAATAAATGTATCATTCTATGGGTGTACCATAGATTAATACTTTTCTTATTATTAGGCATTAGGCTATTTCTAGTGTTTTGTTTTGCTCTTATAAAAGGTAATGCAGTAAACCTCACATGTTCCTCTTTGGATGTATGCTCAATTTTTTCCTCCAAGTTACTTACCTAGAAATTGAATTGTCTTGAAGAGTCTTTGCATTTAAAGTATTAACATCAAAAAGGTGAAATAATTTGTGGACAACACAGAATTGCATACTTCATTTTGTCAGGAAAGGGCCTAAAAAATTACCGAATATTGTCACTTTGATTTCATAAAAGGACATTTTAATACCTGAATATATTTAGTTTCATGAAAACCTCATGGCTGTCAGTACTTTTCTCATTTTACCATAGACTACTGAAAATTTTTACACAGACCAGCTTGAGTTGGTGTAGAAGCTTGAGAATTATTGTCAATAATTTTTTCTTTTGTATCCAAAAAGGTAAATCCAAGGGAGTTGCGCTTGCATTTTTTAACTACTGTATACTTAGGACTGAACCATTCTCGTAGTTGAGAAATTAGGCCCTCGGTGCTTTCTTCATGCTGGTCTATGTGAACACTGTTAGTAGAAACCATATATTATTTCATGAACCTACCATAGGAGCATACATTACTAAACCAGCCAGATTCAATTAGGCAATACTGAGTACAGAGCTCAGAGCTCAAGCTCGGGGGCCAGAGAGTCTGTTTGGATCCACACTCTCCTTTTGAATTCATAGGCGTGCTTTTTAACCTGTCCACATCCCATTTTTCTCTTCTATAAATTGGTGATAGTAATACATCTCAAATATTTGCAAGAATTAAATGTATCAATGCATGTATGATATTCAGCATAGTTTCTGATTCTTGGAAAGTGTTCAGTAAATGCTGGCAGTGATCATAACATGATCATTAGTGTATTTAGCCCTTCCACAAATATTTTTTTATTGCTTCTATGTCAAACACTGTGCTTTGTGCTTAGATTAGAACAGTCTCTGTCCTTTAGGAAGTTGGAGAGTTTGACACTTAAACAACTAGCTGCACTGGGGACAAGTCATCAATCTTATTTTAAAGGATCCTTGAAGGTTTAAGAAAGAGTAGGAGAGGGTATGGCAACAAGGAATACAGTAGAAGCAAATAAATACCCATAATTAGTCTGTGCATGGTATGGTTGTGGTCTGGATTACTGTAGATTGGTGTGGATATGAGCTTTAAGAGCAAGGATGGATGGGAAATTAGATTGGATGGAGCACAACATTTTTAAGTGTACAATCAGTATATTGTGTTTGGATATCAGCAGCCCTTGGCCTATGGAAGAAGTCAGGAAGACCAGAGCTGCAATTTAGAATTTAGGTAAAAGTCTGGAGAAGATATGGGAGAATAGAATGTTGAATTCTGGTATTACTTAAAAAGCTGGTCAGAGGTGATCTCTGGTATCCTTGAGAATTCTTTGAATTATCTGAATGTTAATTTCTATCACTGATACATAAAACAAGGTCCTTCTGACTTAAGGGAACACTTTCCTTAGGACACCTCTCATTGCTGTCTTATACAAAGGAATGTCAGTATTCTGAAAGATTCTAGTGGGGTGGGGTCGGGTGGGAGGTGTGAGATGACCTGTGGGATTAACAAGGTCAAGTGGTTCCCAGAATCTTGCCTTATCAAAGTTGTCAACAGCCTAAAAATGTTTGATGAATACAGGTATGGATGGTTAAAGCCTTCTGATTCTTCAAAGCAGCTTTGCTGAGAATGTGCATCTCTCGGAAGGTAGTAGATCCCAGAGACCAAGACAGGACATTTTACCAAGAAAACAGATTGTATGTTGGGCTGTAGGACTCATGAAATCTTTGCCTGTTTCAGACGCTGACCGGAAAGGAGATTGAGATTGACATTGAACCCACAGACAAGGTAATGTATGCCCAACACCTCTTCATGCGTGTCTCCCCACATGTACATTTGTTTAGATATGCTGATGAACTTAGTCCTTTGCTTTCACGCTATCTGCATAGCTCTTGTTCTTTCCACTTCCATAGTCCTACCCTTACCTACCACGGGTAGCCTCTGACTACTTGTACCCCTAAAGGTGGAGCGAATCAAGGAACGTGTGGAAGAGAAAGAGGGAATCCCCCCACAGCAGCAGCGGCTCATCTACAGTGGTAAACAGATGTGAGTTTGGAATGGGAATGAGGGTGTGGCAATCTTATGTGAAGATGACAGAGCAACTACTGGAGAAGAAGTGGACCTGCTTCTTTTTATTGGTGGCTTAGACCCTTTGACAATTTGGTGAAGCCTGTGAACTCCTTCTCATAAGATTTTCGCAGACACAAAATAAAATACATAGCATTACAAAAGAGACTAAGTATATTGAAATACAGTTATCAAAATACTAAAAAGGCAAGTTTGTCACATAATATATGTGCTTCTTTATTAATACATTAAGATCTAATGGGTCTAATAACTACCATAATTTTGAAATATTTTCAAGATACCTTCAAACAATTGTAATGTGATGTGAAAATATCTAATTTCCACTGTTAGCAAATTACTCGTATTGCTAATACCACTGTGGATTTGTGTCTTTGCTCAAAATTTTTAAAAATATTTCAGTTAGGGATTAGTAAAAATAAAGATGTAGTTTTTTCCTCATCTGAGTTCATAGACCGCCCCCCCCCAAAGGGACCCATGAAACCCAGGTTAAGAACCCTATTGTAAGTGGTATTTCTAATACTTGTTTTTTATTTGTTTGTTTGTTTTTACCTCCTTTTTCTGCAGGAATGATGAGAAGACAGCAGCTGATTACAAAATCCTAGGTGGTTCAGTCCTCCACCTGGTGTTGGCTCTGAGAGGAGGAGGTGGTCTTAGTCAGTGATGGACCCTCCCTCCATTTTACCTCCTTACCCTGTCCCTCGTAATGAGGCATAATATATCCTCTTACTCTCTGGGACACCAGAGCCACTGCCCCCTCTCCTGGATGCCCAGTCTTGTGCGTGTACTGATAGGAGACTGTGAGGACCCCAGGATGCAGTGTTCCTGGCTCAAAGGGCCTTTGGTGGCTATTGGGTTTTAGTTTGCAGTCCTGTATACTTCCCTGTCTTGTGGCTATGTCCCTGGTTGTCAATAAAGTATTTCCTGACCTCTTGGACTCTTTCTTCTATTGCACAAATATCACGGATGTCAAAATGGACCTAATGCACACCCAGTTATACCAGGCTGAAGGAGTAGGACAATGGAAGAGATTGTGCCCTTAGAAGAATTGCCAGAATCTAGGAATGCTAGTCTCAGTGGCAGGGATGTGCTGGAGCCAGCTCTTCCCAGCTCATGAGAGCTATTAATAATTATTGGGGGCCGGCCGAGTGGCGCGATGGTTAAGCACTGGCTTGGGACGCCAGAGGGCCCCGGTTCGGAGCCCACATATGAGGGCCAGTGACACTGCCCTCTGCAGCCAAGATGCTGAACAACAGCTCAACCTGGAGCTGGGCTGCCGTGAGTCGCTGGC